TGTAAATGATTTTTAGAGGCCAGAAGACATGAAAACGTCGACATTTAGAGCCGATACTTGAACACCTTTAACACAACGTCGTACCTCGCTCTGCATCTTCTGAGCTTCTTTGGAAACCTTGTACGTCTGAGTGTCTGCAAACTCCATCTGAGAGCGCCCTTTGCTCCTCTCGTACTCCTGCCGGTACTTCACCTGAAACAGCCAGCACAGCGGCGCATCAGCCCACCGACAGCAGCTGCAGACCACCAAGAAGCAGCATCAGCGTGAGCCTCACCTGGCTGTGCAGCACGGCGTTCTCCTTGTGGTGGAGCTGTTCGGCCGTGTCCTCGGCGGCGTGGTGCTGGGCCTTGGTCTGCTCGTACTTCTTCTTATACTCCACCTGGTCCAATATGACAGCAACACGGAAATAAAGACTCAAATTAAAACAAAAAAAAAAAGCCAGTTATGTTTGGAGAGCCATTCTGAAACTTTGGTTTTTGTGGTAAAACTGCTCAATACAAAAATTCTGGAAAATTAACTTCCCTTTCAACCAAGTATTTCACATTAAAACTATCTCATCTGTTTTGTTCTGTGTTGTTTGTGACATGCAGCCACGTGTGGCTCAGATAACGTCACTAGTTGACTTCAGCGTCGTCGGTTTATCTGTTAATCTGAGCTTAAAACTGGGACTTTTCACGACGGCTTCCATTGTTTTGTCTCCATATTTCAACTCGCAGACAGTTTGATCTACTTATCCAGTATTGTGCCGTTTAAATCAGTGACACGATGAGAAACAACAGTGAACATTTAAGGCTTTTATCTTTAATAGTTTCTCAGATATTGTCGTTCAATTCTAGCTTCAAGTTTCAATTTGTGATAAAACGTGATAAATTTCTTTTTGACACATCAAACTAAAACTTCATAAATATCTTAACAAATATCCATATTTTATGCTATAACATTTTCAGGCAAATCAGAGAGAAATCGTTCTAAAAATGTGCACATTTCAGATGGAGTGAGCTGTAGAGGACTTTTATTTTGAAGGGTGTGGCTTTATATCTTGTAATAAAAAAGTGATGTAATGTGCTTTAACCAGAAAATTCCAGGTCTTTATCTTTAATAGTTCCTGACATAGTGTTGTTAAAACAGAATCAAATTACACTGTGAGGAAAAAAAACACATGCTGAATGTGGATCAATGGGCAATAACAAAAAAAAGATTTATCTCAGGAAGTATTTCATACATCAAGCTAAAACAAAATCAGAAATGTCTTAAGAAATATCAAAAATACCTAAATAAATAAGATCCCAGGCAGATCTGAAATGGTTGAGCAGAATTTGTTTAAAAAATATGCTGATTTCAGAAAGAATGATCCTATACAAGACCCTCTATAGGACTTTTATTTTGAAGAGTACAACTTTGTATCTTATAAAACAGCAATGTGACGCGTTGTAACAAACAACTATCAGATTTATTTTTATCTTTAGCAGTCCCCAAGATATTGTGCTTCAAACAGATGCAAATCTCGATGTGCAAACAAACGTGTTGAAAGTAGGTCAGTTTACAATAAAACTTTAATCTCAGAGAGCATTTGATACATCAAGCTAAAACTTTAGAAATATCTTAACAAATATCCATATTTTATGCTATAAAAGCTTCAGGCAAATCAGAGGAAAACTGTTCTTAAAATGTGATGATTAGAGGTGAACAGACCCTCCTGTGAAAGCCTATTTGAGACTTTTATTTTGAAGGCTACAGCTCTTCATCAAACAGTCATGAGCTGTTTCTTTTTAGTTTTTAAATTTTTTTCTCACTGCACTGTACGCGTGGCACCACCTTTGTGTGTAACGTGTGAGGCCTACGTTGCTCTGGAGCTTGCTGGCGTGTAGAACGTGTTCCAGCTGCAGCAGGTTCGGCAGGTCCGCAGAACCTTCTGGTCTCTGGTTCTGGTTGGTTTTGTACTTCACCTGGAGGACAGAAAAAAAACATGGTGGGGCTGAAGGTTTGCCTGTGATGCAAATGTTCAAAAGCTGTAAGTAACGATTAATCCTGAAGATAATCACATTTTAATCTGACAGTCGCTGATTGTAAAGGATCTAATTACTACTTGTAGGAATAAAGATGCTTTATGTGGACGTGATTTACAGATTTAACCTGTTTGTTTGTTTGTTTGTTTGTTTGTTTTTGCAGTTGCGATGTAAATGAATTCTTTTTTGCAGGCTCAGATAGACGACTAGATATCATCTGTAACCAAACAAACTCTCCTGCTAGAAACCTGCATTCAGAGACGTGTCTGTGCATCAGGATGCTCAAAGTGAAGCCTTTGTGAGAAGCAGCTCTGGCTGAACGTGCAGCGTTCCTGAACACCGGGCAGCGTTCAGCACAACAAGCTGTTACGCAACGCTGCAAAGTGGAGTCGCTCTCCTCTGTGGCTGTGTGGGCAGCAGCCGGACGAAAACCCAACCGTGGCCTGTTTGTGTGCATCTGCATGTATGTGTGAGAGCGTTTGGGAATTCATTTGTGCTGCCATGTGTGTAGATGTGTGTGTGTGTGTGTGTGTAGATGTGTGTGCACTTGCCTCTCCATGTTTGTAGTGACAAATTTTAGTGGTAAACCATCTTTGTGAGGACATTTTGATATTGTAAGGACTGTTCTGCATAGAGGGCTGCAGGTGGATCAGTGGTTAGCACCGTGGCCTCACAGCTGGAAGGTCGCCGGTTCGCATCCCAGTGAGGACACCCGGGATCTTTCTGCGTGGAGTCTCCATGTTCTCCCCGTGCAGCGTGGGTTCTCTCCGGGTTCTCCGGCTTCCTCCCACAGTCCAGAAACATGCTGAGGTTAATTGGTGATTCTAAATTGTCCGTAGGTGTGAATGTGAGTGTGCTTGGTTGTCTGTCTCTAAGTGTAGCCCTGTGATAGACTGGTTACCTGTCCAGGTGAACCTGCCTTCACCCTGAGTCAGCTGGGATAGACTCCCCCCCCCATGACCCTGGTGAGGATGAAGCGGTGTATAGATGATGGATAGATAGATAGAACCTTTATGGATTATTTATTACTATGGGAGCCTTTCTGAGAATCTCACTTTAGGAAAGACCTCCAAAGGAGTCATGGTTCAGTTTTAGAATTCAGGTTAGGACCAGGTTTAGGCTGAGTTTAGGGTGAGAGGTTGACGAGAGCCTTGTGTCACTGCCTGTCCTCCCAACTATAGAGAGACCAACGTGCAAGTGTGTGTGTGTACACGTGTGTGTGCACGTGTGTGTGCACGTGTGTGTGAGTGTAAGCTCTTCAACTTCTCCAGCTTTCATCCCACAATCCCTCTCCATTTGCCTTAGAAAGGTTGCCATGGTTACGCCCACACAACAGACTGAATTTGAGAGTGTGTGTCGAAGTGAACCACACACACACACACACACACACACACACACACACACACACACAGTTAGTTCCTCTCGGACTCGTTTTCATCTCAGCGACTGAACAGAAAACAAAATGCCTCCAGGTGAACTGGAGGAATAAACAATCTGAATATATGGATAAATAAATAAATACGTCAGGAGGGGGCGATAAAAACACAACCAAATGTTTTCAGCTGAAACTGTGCCTTCGTTCTGTTTGTGCAGCTACACAGCTGATCAGTCACAACATTAAAACCAGCTCCAGATCCTTGAAGTCCTGGAAATGATGAGGTGGGGTTTCCAGGACATCCCACAGATAATTCAGAGTTCGGAGGCCAAGCATCCTGTAATATGGCAACATTCCTCTATTGTGAGGACTGGTCTGCACTGTGTGGACTGTCCTGGATTATGAGGACTGTCCTGGATTATGAGGACTGTCCTGGATTATGAGGACTTTTCCGTATTGTGAAGACATGTTTGCATTCTTAGGACTGTTGTTGGAAAAATCAAATCACGAACACACGTGACAGATCGAACCTAAAACTCTGAGAGACAGATCACATGAGCACAGGATTCACTCACCTGACTGGCCAAAGCAGCAGCGGCTTGTGAGTGTTTGAATGAGAGGCAGTCCAGCGGGTTGTAACGAGGTTTCTGGCCCTTTAAATTTCGGTCAAAGCTCTCCTTATACTTCACCTGCAGCACAAAGAGAGAAGAGGAAACATTACTGACACTTGAATTTGAGTATTTTCGACCCCGTGCTGCTGATCTGTCCTGACTGGTCAGCTGTGTGTTACCTGGCTGGCCAGCTTGGAAACCTCTTTGGCGTGCTGGATGTCGGTCCTGTCCAGGAGAGATCCGTCGCTGTAAACGGTCTGCTTGGTGTTACTCTTATAGGCCACCTGTGCAATTTTGGACAGATTCTGAGTCATATTCGAAAAGTTTTGGTCAACTTTAACACACACATTTTTTATGCTTTTAAACAGATTTCTTGTCATTTTGGACAAATTTTGACCTATTTTGGACACATTTTAAGTCACTTTAGACAAGTTATATTCATTATTGGGGAAGTATTTGTCATTTTGGACAAATTTTGAGTCGCTGTGGACAAATGCTGAGTCATGCTTTAGTCATGTTTTTTAGTGTTGGTTATTTTAGATACATTTCTAATCATTCTGAACAAGTTTAGGTAACCTTGGATAAGCCACTGATTAACTGCGGCCAGTTTGTAACTCATTTTGGACAAATATCAAATCACTCTGGATAGTTTTTGAATAACTTTGGACAAGTTTTAGCAATTTTAGCAAAGTTTTGGTCACCTGGGACAACTTTTAAGTCATTTTGAACAAGTTTTAGGTCACTGTGAGTAAGTTTTAGGTATTTTGGACAAAGTTTTGGTCATTTTTCACAAATTGTGTTCACCCTAAACAAATGCTGAGTCATCCTGGGCAAGTTCAGAATCATTCTGGACAGGTGTTTTAACAAATTTTGGACAGGTATCAAGTCAGTTTGGGCAGTTTTTAAATAATTTTGGACACATTTTTGCACTTTAAACAAATTTAGGTGATTTTGGACACATTCCTGTTTCTTGTTGTAAAGTCTTTGGGGACTGACTCGCTTTTGAAGCCTCGAGGGGACATTCGAGGAACAACAGTTTTTTTCATTCCACTTCCATGCTGGCTTTATTTTTTAGCCCCAGATTGGTCCTCACAAAGACAGACATACACACAAACCCACTCTCACACACACTCTGCATGAAGCTGAACCTTGCAGAACACTCTTACATAACAACAGCTCAGTGTTAGCAGCAGAACGTTTTCTATAATTAATCAGCATCTCTGCTCAGAGAACAGCTGCTGAACAGGACTGTCGTCATGGAAATCAGTGTTGGATGGAACGAGGCTACATGTTCATGCAAAGAAAAAACAAGGCACACGTGGACTCACGTCGCTGGCCAGTTTGGCAGCGTTGGTGGCGTTCACGATGTCGGGTCTGTCCGGCGCCGAGCTGTAGTGATGGAGCTCCTCTTTGCCTTTTCTGTAGCCGACCTGGGAGGCAGTTAGAAACACAAACACCACAACAGTGCGGTGAATTTTAACCAACAGAATCAGACAAAACTGTTTTATGAGAACCACTGATAAAACAGATTCAACAACAGGGAGTTCATGAAGAGGAGTAAGGTCTCAGCAGCCCAGTAATGTGAGTACTGGAGCTGCTCGGTCACGCAAAGCTTCAAAAACAATAAGAAGAATAAGAACAACACTAAACCAACACCAGTCTGCAGAGGCACATTATCTTTCTTTTTTTTTTTGTTTCTGCAGAATAACTCAAAATCACTCATTTATTTTAAATTACTTAAAGTTTTGTCCAGAATGACTAGTTCTGTCCAAATTACTCAAAATCTGCCCAAAATGACTCAAAAAAATGTCCAGAACGACTCAAAACCTTTCCAAAATATTCAAAACCTGTCATCAACAACTTGACATTGGTCCACAATGAATCAAAATTTCTCCAAAACCACTTGTGTCTTGTCTGTGTTCACTGGGAGGATAAATAACTTTTACAAAATGGCTTGAGTCTTGTCCAAACTGATCCAAGAACTGTCCAAAGTGACTCGAAAATTGGTACAAAATGACTAAAAAACTGTCAATAATTACTTCAAACTTACTCAAAATGGTGCAAAATGACTAAAATTTGTCCAATATGGCTCAATATTTGTCCAAAATGACCCCAAACTGGTCCAAAATGACCACAATGATTCAAAAATTGTCCAAAACGAGTAAAACGTGTCCAAAATGACTGAAAAGTGACTTTTACCTTATCTTGTCTCCATGTCTCCAAAACGTAACAAAACTTGTCAGAACTTTTCTAGAATGACTGAATTCGTGGAAACTCAAAACTCAAAACTGTTCAAAATTTGTCCAAAATGACTCTAAAGTTGTCCAAGATTACTTTCAAGTTGTGCAAAATTCATGAACTGTCCAAAATGTCTGAAAATGTCTCATGTGGTGTTTGGGAGCATGAATGACTTAAACTTGTCCAAAACAACCCAAAACCAATGGAACACTTTTTCAGTGACTTACAATTTGTTGAAAATGACGGTAAACTTGTGCAACTTTGCTCAGAATTTGTCCAATTTGACTCAAAACCTGTCCAAGATTACTTCAAACTTGCTTAAAGTGAATCAAAAATTACTACAACTTGTCGTGAATGATTTAAAACTGAATGAAAATGATTCTTGTCTGTATTTTTGGGACGCATGAATGACTCAGTTTGTCCAAAATGACCCAAAGTCTGATCCAAAATGACTCTGTCCAGAATGTACCAAAGGCATTCCAAGATTACTTCAAACGTGTGCAGAATTTTTCAAAACTCGTCTCCAATGACTCAAAAAACTGTCCAGATTCACTCAAACTAGTCCTGAATGACTGAAAACTGGTGCAATATTTTTGTCCAAGAGTACCCCAAACTTGTTTAAAGTGAGGCAAAAATGACTAGAACTTATCCTAAAATGATTCAAAATTGGTCTAAAATGATGGTCTTGTCTGTGGTTTTTGGAAGCATGAATAACTCTTGACCAAAATGACTTAGTATTTGTCCAAGATGGCCGTAAACGTGCCCAAAAATCCTCCAAAAACTGCCTTAAATGTCTCAGAACTGGAACAAACTGTCCAACTTGGTTTAGAGTTATTCCCATTTTCATTGGCTTTGCTGAACCGAGAAGCTACAGGTGATTTAAACCAGCAGCGAGTGTGTTTATTTACTTCGCTCTGGTTCTTGTTGACCTCCATGGCGTGGTCCACCTCCGGCAGCGTCTTCATGTTGGCGTAGCTCGACTTGCCCTTCTCCCGGTTGAACTTCTCCTTGTAGAACTTCTGCAGGCGGCGAGAGGGAGCAAAGGAAAAAGGGCGTGAGACGAGCCTGAGGGGGAAATACTGAAGGGATAAGGATCTGAAAGGAGAAGAGATGAGGAAGAAACGGCGGCGTGATGGATCGAGGGAGAAAATATCTGATGACTAATTCAGCTCGTTGGCCTAAAAATACGACGAGCTGCTTCCAAATGTGAAAATGAACGACTCACAGCAGCAGAAGCTCAAACGGGCCACAGAACAAATCGGCTGCAAATCCGACTCAGCCACAGCGTACGATGCCTGTATTTATACACAGCATTCACTTCTTTTCGTTGGTAAGGCGTGAATTCCATTTTATTCATACAAAAAAAGGCTCAATCTGAAATTTTTTACACCCTAAATCTCATAACATTTTCTGAATGTTTACATTTTTTCATGCTTTTCTTTTGCATAACAACAAATATCTGCACAATAATGAAATTCAATGATTTTAATACAGTAAAAAAAAATCTATCTATCATCTATCTGTACGTACATTATTGTATTTTGTATATAATTTTACAAAAAAGGCAAAATTTGCTCATTTTTTTAAAAACTGATTTCCATAATTTTCCCCCCAATTAAAAAAAAAACAAAAAACTTCAATATGCTTTAAAAAAAATCAATTAACAACAAAAGTAAGATATTGATATTTCAATTATTTAAACACAGTAAAAATTGTATGTATATTTTTTAAACCCTAACTTTAAAATTTTTAATATACATATTTTTATTTCAAATAATGATAAATAGCTGTAAACATATTTCTACTTACTGATTTAATTACAGGAAATAAAAAGAAAGAAAGAAAGATTTTTTTTTAGCCAAATTATGTAAAAGAAAATACAGAATATTTACAGTTTTGGTTTATTTTTTAGGGTTAATTTAATGAAATTTGATAAATAATTGTGTACCATTTTTTAATCCTTAATATATATAATTTTTCTTTCAAATACCAACATCTTTCTGTGAAATAACAATATTATTTGCTGATTTAAATAAAATAAAAATGGTATGATTTTTACTGTCAAGCGTGCATATCTATAAATCACACATTTAAAGAGTCTGCTGGTGCCTGAAGTCCTGTTTTTTTCTTGGGTAATGTAGGTAACAATCACATTTAACAGTCTGCTGGATGATAATGTTCCTGGTCCTCAGCTCTTTCAGCGTTTTGCAGACGGCCGGGTCGTGTCGGTGGTTATACGCTCCAGTTAGCGTCGCATTGCTCGGTCAACAGACATGGAACCAGAAAAGCATCACGCCGGTGTCCCAGTTTACCCACAGCTTTGATTTTCTGCCTCCGGGGCCGACTGACACCAAACTATCACCCTCATGTGTAACCTGCTATGTCTCAGGGAAGCATGTCTGCAGATTATCAAGACCCAAAGCTTTAAATTCAGATGTTAGCGACATGTTAGACACATTTAAATCGGCTGCTTGCTCATCAAAGTCTGGAATTGAGGGTTTTCTGAACTGCGCACCAAAGAAGATGTAGATCGTACCACAAATTGTTTGTGGTTAACTTCTTCTGGTCGAGCATTGGTAATAAAATATTTATTCTACGTCTCATTCAAAAATAAACCTGCAGAAAACAGAACATTGTGCACTCGTCTTGTTTTTGTCAGTCTGGCTTCCTGTTTCTGTCGCTTTGTGTATCGTTGGGATGGTTTTATCTGCCTGTCATTGTGCTGACATCTTGGTTTTGTCAGTTTTGCCTCGTTTATGTCATCTTGAGGCTCGTTTTAGTGGTTTTATGTCTCAGCTGCACTAAATACTTGTTTTCTTACAGTTTATTTTTGGCAAATTGTTATCAGATATGACTAACTGCGATATTTTTGGTGAGTATAATTTGACAATTCTTTCTGACAAATTGTGCAATCTGGCATTTTTAAAAGACCTGCCAGGTGGTTTAGGGGTTCAGTTGGTTAAACAGATGATAAACGTGATTTCCATCCCACTACAGCGATGGTCACATCAAACTCACGTCGCTCTGCGTCTTGGTCAGCTCCTTGGCGAAGACGGTCTCGATGGTTTGGGGCATCTGAGCGTACAGGCTGCAGCCGGCCTCCTTCTTACCTTCATCCCTGTAGGACTTCTGCAACACAAAACACAACGCCATCAAACTGTGACGTTAAAGGAAGCACAGCGACATGCGCCACCAACTCCTGTTAGCAAGTATCAGTTTTAATTAGCATTTCAATATATTAGTTGGTTCGCTTTTAGAAATATAAATCAAGGAGGAGGAAAGTTCTGATCAGATGGAACAAAAACTGAGCAGAAACATGTCTGGAGGAGAGAAGGTGAGGCCTTTAACCCCAAGAACACCAAACCTACCACCAAGCACGGAGGTGGCAGCATCATGCTCTGAAATTGGAGCTTTACACAAAGTAAATGGAAGGAGGATCACCTCCACGTTGTTCAGGAAAACCTCAAACCATCAGCAGAAGGTTGATCTTGGACACAGTTGGATGTTCCAACCAGACAATGAGCCCAAACACACATCAAA